GTTTGTGGTGAAATGCACTAATGTTAATGAGTAACCTCCGTCAGAGGAACGATTATTGACCGAGACACCATGAACCTCTCTCTATCAGAGAACGATATATCATAGAAGGTCTACCAGGGACCAGCTGTGAATTGTCAAAACCTAACAAGATTATTAGTGAATTTCACCAAATCTGGCTCGGAGGAGAAATTTAACAGTAAGCGCGAATGAGCGAGAATTCAATGAAAATTATTCTGGTGAGATCTGTTTGATATTACAGCTGCATCGTTATTTGTTAGATATCTTATACGTTTATATGCAATCATATTTATTACATGAATTCATTTTGAATTTTTATGAATCGCATGCAAACTGATAAGATCTTATGAAATTATGGAATTCGAATCAATATTTATAGTCATCCCACATTTAATAATTTTTTTTAGTTTTTACCAATAGCATTCATACTAAATAGTTATATTATAATAATAGAGATTAAATATTACATATATTATGTATATACATCTTTATCATCATTAATCTTAGTATATATATGTATGTATTCTATGTATTTGAATGTAGCATCAGAATTCAAATCATATTTTATCAGCTTACAATACACTATATGTGCGCGCATTGATTTATATGTTACTTCATTATAAATGTATTAATACATAAAATTGCCGAACAAATATCTACATAAACCAATATATATACATATGTATATGCGTACAACATTAATATTCTCGCAAAACTACAAACATTCTACAAAACAACCGTCACAAGTTTATAGTAAAGATTCATACAATATTTTATTCTATGAACGCAGGCGTGTTTAACAAGCAACCTCGCTATCTATAAAACAGACACCTCTCATTCCTGAGCATGCGTTTCACACTTTTTCGCGACGATGGCAAAGCTAAAATCAGATCTGAAAAATTCTGATAGCTCCTCTGAAGGAAAAGTTGCAACCACGCGACGCCCACCAAACACAGAAAATTGACAAACTGGCAATAAAGTCTTTTGTCGATTTAAAATATTTGTAACTTACAATTTTCCGTTCCAGTAATCTGCTGTCAATATATGCGTATGCCATATATAAACTTTAGCATATTTACGATGATTCTTAGGCAAAGCTGTTAGAGGGCAAGGAGCGTGACATAATCGGCGGCGTTTGCAGCCTTAATCATTTTTCGGCACACCTGGATTTTCACCAACAACACAATGTTAGACGGCTTTCGTCGTCAATCAGTCCTTCGACACGAAGTGACTTTTGACAAGAAAACAAAACGTGAGTTTAGCCACATTGATCTGTGGTAACGGAGATTTCATGAACAAGAATGCATATTTACATACATAGTTGGGTTATAGACAAATTAACAATATAAATGGGCCTCATATTTGTTTATATGCACACATAATTATACATATACATTTGGCTACATATATAGAGAGTATATTTGCTGACCGCTTGGTCTTTTCTATGGGTTGCGTCAAGCAAGAGAGTACAAAATCAAACCTAGAAATTGACTGAACTGAAGCAGTCCATTAAATAGTATATTTGAGTAATCCTGACTTGAACCCCAGCCCGCATTAATTTGTTAATCTAGGTGTCATATGCTGGCAAGCAATGGAGGAATAATTAATCTGTATAAAATAAATTAAATTTTCATACAATACAACAAAATTGATAAAAAGAAACTTAATACGGTTAATTTGTAGCACGACATGAGCCGCCCTGATATGCAGAATATCTTTAAAATATTATATGAAAATGGTCGTTTGCGCATTGTAAATATACGAATTTGTAAGCGCATTTTAACATTGAATTTAGTTATTTTCATTTAAATATCTAAATGCCCACTTGCTATTTTAGCTCCAGAGGGTAAAATTTGGTGAAATCGCTTATAATTTGTTCAGTGAAATGTACTATGTTGGGATAACCTCCGTCAAGAGGAACATTTTGACAATCGGCATACACGCGAACCTTCATGACTATACGTTCTCGTCTTATGATATACGTTCTCTGACAACACCATTGGCAACGCACAACACAGTTGTTCGAACTGGGCAGCACTGTTCATACTTGTCAAACAGATTATTCTACGTCAGGAATATATATTCAGATTTTCACTGTTTTCCACTTGAGTTGTTGCTAACGTTGCAAATTTTACATCTTTGGAAAAACGATAATCGAAAACAATTATGTGATACAAATACAATTTAGTTAAAACTTTAGGAATTGCAACATATTTGCAGGTGGAAAAGCATTTTAATGTAAAAGTAGGATGAGTTGAAAACTTTATGGATTTGGCAAATTGAAGAAAGAAAAGTGAAGTAAAACTAAAAATAATATTGTTGTAAATATGTTGGCATTGACTGGTGTGTCATCGGCAACAACGCAGTAAAGGTAAAGTAGATTTACGATGGAACAACAGCACTCAACTTGAATAGAACAACAACCATTGCTATGGGCAGACTCTAACAAAGAAGTTGTTGTTGTTGTTAGTTCCAACGAGATATATATCTGGTGGTTAGTGATGGAGGTTGGCTTGCCCCTTTAGAAGCAACATTAACTTTTGGTCTCACTTTCCATTAATTTGTACACTTTACACACAGCCACACTTGCTGCGACATATATAAGTTAATGGGCAAACACCACATTTCAAGTGGGGCGGGGAGTTCAAAACGAAAGCAGAGCAAAATACATGCAACACGAATTAACAAACAAAATATTCAAACATAAATGTTCACACAAGGAAATTGGATATTTATTGATCTAGTGGTTGTGTTGAGAACAAAATAATGAAGTAAATAAACAACGCCTGATCGACTGAGCGAGATAGAATTAATTCGCAAAATCGAAAGCAACACACACAAAACAGTTCGTTTGAATTCGAGTGAATGCTCGACGCTTCGATTCGTGCCATAGTGAACAACACTCATAATTTATCGCTGATTCAGTGAAACTATGATACTACTACGGGAACACATATATATTGCTTGACAAAATTTCATTTATCACAGCAGCCACTGGAATAGTAACTAAGAACCACGTAATTGAAAAGTAAACTAAGAAAATGTGTTGTAAGTAATCAAAATTTAGAAATTTAAAAGACTGCACACAACATTAAAATACGAATAAATGGAATAAATGTATTCACAATGTGGTTGTTATGACGTAATGGAGTGGTATAATTGAATTGACGTTGCACACGTCACAATGCAACAAGTGTTCTTCTGTAATGTAAATCTGCAAATGGCAGAGTTCAATGTCAATCGATTTTTCTATAAACTTTTATTTTAGTCAAAACGATGAATATATACTACGTATATGTTCCCTTTACAGGAATTTGAAGTAATGTGGAATTAGCAGATGTCATGTCATATATGTATTTTAAAATCTCCACGACTATAGACTATATTAGAATATACTAGTAAAAATCCACTCAACTGATTTTATGTACTTTGAAATCTTATTTGCATATTTTATATTTGCATTATTACATATATGTTTTATAATTAATTACTTTATTATTACAGGTTTACAAAATATAAATCACTCAACAACAAGCACTACATTTAATTTCCTTTGGAAATTTTATTCAACAATTGGAAAGATAATAAAAATAGCAAATGAAAATGGATACAGCCGATGCTTTGATGGAGGAGAAGAAATTGCTGGCGGAAGGAAATATCGTAATTATATGTCAAATTGATAAAGCGTTACGAAACTTTGAATATTCAAGACGAATGGGCTGACCTTATATCGGCGTCTGGCAAGCTTAGGTGAATATAATGAACATACGCTGATTGTATTACATAAGTCATAATATTTGGTCAAACGTCAATTTCAAATGTATTAAAGAGGAAGTATGTAAACAATGAACAAGGTTGAAATATTTATTTGCTTGACAGTAGGCTGATTGTGTTAAATTAAATGTAGATAAATGTGCTGATAATTTACAACTGACTCATATACAGTTATTTATTTATATACATAACGATAATAAGTGAATATTGATATAAACGTGCCACGAAAACATGAAATATATACATTGCTTTTGTGACTTCCCTTTAATGACAAATAGCCTCAAACTATATCTCATTTTGCTGGATGAGTAATAAATTTTAACGCATAACAACTGATGGTTAAATATATCATACATGCTATAGTTATATATTAAATACAAGTATATTACTAAGATATTTTAATTGACAAGACACGGTAAACTGACTGATCAGAATCAAGATCTTTTATATCCTTTTTATAATACAATGTACAGAACATTAAAGCTTCGATGCAGCCGATGTTAACGGTTTTTCTTGTTTGTGATAAAGTATGGTCAGTGTAAATTAATTACTAAACCACATACTCATATAAATAGAAGTCGAAATTATTTATCTACACTGACGCATCAGAGCTATAAATAAAAATCCTGAATAAATATTAATTGATACAAATTAAATGTATTATTTATTATTGACTGATAGTATTATGAGTAAAACTCATTTCTTCAAATTTGCATGGCTTACAACATCGGGTCACTGAAACTGCTACATCTTATCAGTTCACAAGTTTAACGTTACTTTTTATTGCCAAACAGCTACTGCAGACGATAAAGAATTTCGTTGTTTTAAAGTAAATTTGGTAATTTACGAAAATGGGTGGTGATAAGTGAGAAAAAATCAGAAAAACAAGTTAAAGGTCAGCAAAGTGCTGTTACTAAGCATACATGGACACGTAGGTTCATTATTCGAGCTGTTGAAATAAACACATATAGACACACATACTGAAAACTGATAAAAATGTATGTGCGCTTTGCTGTGGTTTCTTATTATTATTATTATTTTTTTTTTTTTTTCAAATCAACGATAATTGTTTTATAATTACAAATGTGGACATACATATGTGCATATAAATTACCCGTATGGTATTATAATTTTTGAACTTGGAAATTTTATCAGACATTCAACTACAATATTCTATATATTTTTTATGTACATTTCCCTGCAGGCAATATCTGGCAATACACAATATCAAGTAATTCCGCGTCGCATAAAAATCTCAAAACGTTTGGCGCAATGCATGCATCCAGCACTGCCATCTGGTGTGCATTTAAAAGCACTGGAGACCTACGATGTTATCTTCGGCAAAACGGGCGCAGAGCGTTTGGCGCAAGAGCTTTTCATATACAGGTTCGAGGCATTGACTTTACATCATACAAAATATTATTATTCTTTTTATTTTTTTACATTTCAATTCTTTCTTACTTTCCACCAGTGCCGGCCTCTTCCCACTACTCGGCTATGCGGCAATGAATGTGCGTCCTGCACTATTGGGCATTTATGAGACCTACTTTGTGCCACTGGGCGATAAGCTACGCCCAGCGCTTAGTGGTTTCCTCAGCGGTGTACTGCCCGGCTATGAGAATGGCTTGGATCATTTCGATCGCACGAATTCCTTACTTACGCAAGTTTGCACCGCTGTCAATCCGACACACTTTTACACTGTGCTCTGGGAATGTATGGCGACAAATGCTTCTATACGCTTGCCTGCGGTCACCTATCTACTCGAGCACTTCAACAAACGCTTGAGCATGCAGGAGCAAGTATTTATTATGGGACACAATCGTGATATTATGATGTCCGGCCTATGCGCTTGCCTCAATGATAGCGTTATTTTAGTACAACGTAATACATTAGAATTTCTACTACTCGGCTTTCCCATGCATACCATCTACCTAACCGAAGCGGATCTCATCAAATTGGTTACGAATGGTTTGAATACAATTTTACGACGTGATATGTCACTGAATCGCCGCTTATATTCTTGGTTGCTTGGCAGTGAGGTGGCTAAGAATTCACCTACTTATGACACAACTTCACTAGATGGCGCGCCCGCAGAGACGGAAACATATTTTGAGAAGCATTCGAAACATATTGTCATAAAATCTTTGATATGTACGCTGAAATTCAGTTTGGAGAGCAACCCAGTGGATGTGAAGCCATATCGTATAATGGTTTCACTTTTGGATAAAGCGGAAATCGGTAGCGCTGTGCTGGATCATGTGCTCTGCGATATTATACGCACCATGTCGTTGTCGAGCAGCAGCAATTCGGAGGTGGTGAAGTCGGCCAATCTACTATTTGCCACATTCGACCCAGTTTATATTTGGAGTTTTATGACGAGCATGTATGACAAGTCGTGCAAGAAGGTGAGAAAGTGTTAATGAAAGTGAAAAAACCTGCTCGGTTTATAAGTTATCTGCAACATAACCTATATTTTAATATTCGCTATTTTTTAGACCAACAAATTCATGACTCGCTCACAATCGAGAGGAAAATTATCACGTAGCATTTCGCGCAGCAGCAATGAAACGAAATTTCAATGTGAAGTCGGCTCTGGCGATCCTAGTCTGGTCGAAATATGCTATCTTACCGAATTTTTACTAGAAACCATCTCCTTGGAAATGTACAATGAAACGACGCGCATTTATTTGCCAAAAGTATTTCTAGCTATCACACAGATGCTCACCATACATCTAGACAATATAAGTAGTGATGAAGTAAATGCTTCACTNATATTTTATAAGTTTATCACTTATGTATGTACAATAACAGTATCGACACCTAGTATTTATCACGCAACATATGAGGTGCTGCACCCCACAACACTCGTAAACTGCATCAGCAGCACGCAGTGGCACTTGCCATTGCATAATCTGAAATAAAATCAAAATAAAATGGATAAATATTCCCGTATAAATCTGCATTATTTACACACATACATACATATGTAGGTATAAAGAAATACAAAAACATTACGTTCTGCTCCAATTCGATTAATCGACACTACGTCACGCCACCCGTTAGGAGTCACGACAGCACGAAATCAAAGCGCCAGAGTGTGTGGTAGCCACCATTGGCTTAATGAAAACAAAGCACACTTTACAACAACAGAATGACCATTAAATCAGCTGAACTGAGGTTTATTTTGACTTCATTTACACAAAAAAAAAATCACGAACTCGCGCTTTAACGCTTTCAAGCTTGCAATGAAAGTAAGAAAGAAGAGGACGAAGTCACCGCTGACTCGGTAGTTTTGTAATGATAATGAATTTAAAAAAAAAAAAAAAAAAAACAATTTTCAAGTAAACTCTTTACGAACGGGACACATTGGTTTGAAATTAAAACAGTTCAAGGCTATTCGGAATATTTGTAGTTGACCAAGCTTTACAGCTTAATGTCCATTTAGAAAGAGCAATTGAAATTCATACGTACTTCTCACAAGCGGCGGATAGTACTTCAAATCATTCATTACATTTTTTCAATTGCAACAATATAATTAGTGCGATGTCTTCTAAGTGGGCATTTGACACAGTTTCATACACTCAATGGCTGTATATTTGTGAAAGGGTATGAGTTTCTTGAGTTGTGATGATACTCTTGGTTAGACAATGGCAATTACTGCTACAACTGATGGAGGTCCGACCTCTAACATCAACAACAAACTTACAAAAACAATGTTTGGCTCAACCAGCCGCAGATGGCAATTCGTTTTTAAAGCTACTAGTGTATGCAGATCGCAATTTTGCTAAGGTTAGCTTAACTCTACCGAAAAACTAGAGCTCTTCGCGGTCATCGCCAATGTATATACTCCCAGAACATCAAACTTGGGATGAAAACTAATCGAAAGTCGACACCTTGGACTCCCTGGGAATAAAGTTAAGCTTAAAGTTTTAGTAACGCAGTTCCGCTTCAAGCCGGTCTGTCGAGTGCCGGTCTGTGGTGTGAAGAGAATAGACTGTCAAAAGAAATACTCAGTAGTGAAAAGCCAGGGTAGGTCAACAAACATTTCGGCGAAAGGGGTGAATGGGATAAACTATAAAATTTTTCTAAGATTCCGATATTTGAACAGAAGGAACAACCCATAACTATCGATCACTCACATAACTCAGATAGTCCCCCTAGTATAACTGTAAATATGGAAGATGACACTATCTTCTTCTTGTAGCATTGCATGGCCGACTATAAGATCCAATTCTAAGATATCTGAGCAATTTTATTTTTTTATTTTTGAGATAATGAAAAACTGTCAGAAGTAGCCTTCACTATTTAAGACAAAATGTATATGATTATTCTTGGTTGCCGGGGGTTTTTGAGGACCTCGGTAAATTAATATCTTCCTGTGTTGCTAATTTTTTAAAATCAATATTCCCTTTGGTCTATAGATAAGCTAAGAAAGCTTTTGCCTTTCCAATCTCAATTCAAACTTCTTCTTTGGTTAAATATACGATAGTCAGTACATCCTTTGCGGATTCACCAAATTTTACACCTATTATCATCGAGGGTTCACGAACTTCTTTGAGTTCAAAAAAGCAGTATAATCGATATCTATTATACCACAATCATTAGCCAAAACTGTTACTTCTGATATGGAATGATTTCCGTTTATCTGCTAACAGCAACACATAAGATCGTCTTACAAAACCCTACTTCGCCCACAATTAAGTTCGTGAGAGTGGATATAACGGTGAGGCGTTCTCGACAGGTTTCATAAAAACAAACCAATCTAGCTTTCTTATGGCAAGAGAAAATTATACGCAGGTAGTCGTTATTTCTTTTGTTGTTTTGTAGCTTTAGGTGCATAAAATAGCTTTAATATTCCGAATGTTATGTCGCCTGATTGATAGCTTAGACCGTTGAAGCTCTCTGCTAATCTACTGTACGGGCTCTACGACTAATTTGAAATTCTCCACATAAATATATTCAAAATCACCAAATCATAATTATTATTCCCCCAAACAACACACTTGGCAACGTCAACCACAGTTGTTCGAACTGGGCAGCACTGTTCATACTTGTCAAACAGATTATTCTACGTCAGTGAATATACATTCAGATTTTTTCACTGTTTTCCACTTCGAAGTTGTTGCAATCGTTGCAAATTTTACATTTCTTGCGAAAAAACGATAATCGAAAGCCACAATTATGTGATACAAATACAATTTAGTTAAAACTTTAGGAATTGCAACATATTTTGCAGGTGGAAAAGCATTTTAATGTAAAAGTAGGATGAGTTGAAAACTTTATGGATTTGGCAAATTGAAAGAAAGAAAAAGTGAAGTAAAACTAAAAAATAATACTTGAAAGTTGTAAATTGGGTTGGCATTGACTGGTGTGTCATCGGCAACAACGCAGTAAAGGTAAAGTAGATTTACGATGGAACAACAGCACCTACAACTTGAATAGAACAACAACCATTGCTATGGGCAGACTCTAACAAAGAAGTTGTTGTTGTTGTTAAGTTCCAAACGAGACATATATCTGGTGGTTAGTGATGGAGGTTGGCTTGCCCCTTTAGAAGCAACATTAACTTTTGGTCTCACTTTCCATTAATTTGTACACTTTACACACAGCCACACTTGCTGCGACATATAAGTTAATGGCAAACACCACATTTCAAGTGGGGGCGGGGAGTTCAAAACGAAAGCAGAGCAAAATACATGCAACACGAATTAACAAACAAAAATATTCAAACATAAATGTTACCCACACAAGGAAATTGCGGATATTTACATGGATCTAGTGGTTGTGTTGAGAACAAAACGTAATGAAGTAAATAAACAACCGCTCGATCGACTGAGCGATAGAATTAAATTCGCAACAATCGAAAGCAAACTCACACACAAAACAGTTCGTTTGAATTCGAGTGAATGCTCGACGCTGCGATTCGTGCCATATGTGAACAACACTACTAATTTATCGCTGATCTAGTGAAACTATGATACTACTACGGGGAAACACATATATATTGCTTGTACATGTAAATTTCATTTATCACAAAGCAGCAGCCACTGGAATAGTAACTAAGAACCACGTAATTGAAAAGTAAACTAAGAAAATGTGTTGTAAGTAATCAAAATTTAGAAATTCCAAAAGACTGCACACAACATTAACAATACGAATAAATGGAATAAATGTATTCACAATGTGGTTGTTATGGACGTAATGGAGTGGCATAATTGAATTGACGTTGCACACGTCACAATGCAACAAGTGTTCTTCTGTAATGTAAATCTGCAAATAGCAGAGTTCAATGTCAATCGATTTTTCTATAAACTTTTATTTTAGTAGCAACAATTGATGCATTACATACTACGTATATGTTCCCTTTACAGGAATTTGAAGTAATGTGGGAATTAGCAGATGTCATGTCATATATGTATTTTTAAAATCTCCCACGACTATAGACATATTAGAATATACTAGTAAAAATCCACTCAACTGATTTTATGTACTTTGAAATCTTATTTGCATATTTTATATTTGCATTATTACATATATGTTTTATAATTAATTACTTTATTATTACAGGTTTACCACAAATATAAATCACTCAACAACAAGCATCACATTTAATTTCCTTGGAAATTTTATTCAACAATTGGAAAGATAATAAAAATAGCAAATGAAAAATGGATACAGCCGATGCTTTGATGGAGGAGAAGAAATTGCTGGCGGAAGGGAAATATCGTAATTATATGTCAAATATTGATAAAGCGTTACGAAACTTTGAATATTCAAGCGAATGGGCTGACCTTATATCGGCGCTTGGCAAGCTTAGCAAGGTAACATAATGTGAACATACGCTGATTGTATTACATAAGTCATAATATTTGGTCAAACGTCAATTTCAAATGTATTAAAGAGGAAGTCATATGTAAACAATGCAATGCGTTGCAAATATTTATTTGCTTGACAGTAGGCTGAAGGTATTGTACAAATTAAATGTAGATAAATGTGCTGATAATTTACAACTGACTCATATACAGTTATTTATTTATATACTTAAAGATAATATGTAGCAATATTGATAATAAAACGTGCTTCACGAAAACATGAAATATATTACATTGCTTTTGTGACTTCCCCCTTTAATGACAAATAGCCTCAACTATATCTCATTTTGCTGGATGAGTAATAAATTTTAACGCATAACAACTGATGGTTAAATATATCATACATGCTGCTAGTTATATATTAAATACAAGTATATTACTAAGATATTTTTAATTGACAAGACACGGTAAACTGACTGATCAGAATCAAGATCTTTTTATATCCTTTTGGGCTATAATACACATGTACAGAACATTAAAGCTTCGATGCAGCCGATGTTAACGGTTTTTCTTGTTTGTGATAAAGTATGGTCAGTGTAAATTAATTACTAAACCACATACTCATATAAATAGAAGTCGAAATTATTTATCTACACTGACGCATGCTATGTAATAAATAAAATCCTGAATAAATATTAATTGATACAAATTAAATGTATTATTTATTATTGACTGATAGTATTATGAGTAAAACTCATTTCTTCAAATTTGCATGGCTTACAACATCGGGTCACTGAAACTGCTACATCTTATCAGTTCACAAGTTTAACGTTACTTTTTATTGCCAAACAGCTACTGCAGACGATAAAGAATTTCGTTGTTTTAAAGTAAATTTGGTAATTTACGAAAATGGGTGTGATAAGTGAGAAAAAATCAGAAAACAAGTTAAAGGTCAGCAAAATGCTGTTACTAAGCATACATGGACACGTGGTTCATTATTCGAGCTGTTGAAATAAACACATATAGACACACATACTGAAAACTGATAAAAATGTATGTGCGCTTTGCTGTGGTTTCTTATTATTATTAATTATTTTTTTTTTTTTTCAAATCAACGATAATTGTTTTATAATTACAAATGTGGACATACATATGTGCATATAAATTACCCGTATGGTTTATATATTTTTGAACTTGGAATTTTATCAGACATTCAACTACAATATTCATATATTTTTTATGTACATTTCCCTGCAGGCAATATCGGCAATACACAATATCAAGTAATTCCGCGTCGCATAAAAATCTCAAAACGTTTGGCGCAATGCATGCTCCAGCACTGCCATCTGGTGTGCATTTAAAAGCACTGGAGACCTACGATGTTATCTTCGGCAAAACGGCGCAGAGCGTTTGGCGCAAGAGCTTTTCATATACAGGTTCGAGGCATTGACTTTACATCATAAAAAATATTATTATTCTTTTTATTTTTTACATTTCAATTCTTTCTTACTTTCCACCAGTGCGGCCTCTTCCACTACTCGGCTATGCGGCAATGAATGTGCGTCCTGCACTATTAGGCATTTATGAGACCTACTTTGTGCCACTGGGCGATAAGTTACGCCCAGCGCTTAGTGGTTTCCTCAGCGGTGTACTGCCCGGCTATGAGAATGGCTTGGATCATTTCGATCGCACGAATTCCTTACTTACGCAAGTTTGCACCGCTGTCAATCCGACACACTTTTACACTGTGCTCTGGAGATGTATGGCGACAAATGCTTCTATACGCTTGCCTGCGGTCACTATCTACTCGAGCACTTCAACAAACGCTTGAGCATGCAGGAGCAAGTATTTATTATGGGACACAATCGTGATATTATGATGTCCGGCCTATGCGCTTGCCTCAATGATAGCGTTATTTTAGTACAACGTAATACATTAGAATTTCTACTACTCGGCTTTCCCATGCATACCATCTATAACCGAAGCGGATCTCATCAAATTGGTTACGAATGGTTTGAATACAATTTTACGACGTGATATGTCACTGAATCGCCGCTTATATTCTTGGTTGCTTGGCAGTGAGGTGGCTAAGAAATTCACCTACTTATGACACAACTTCACTAGATGGCGCGCCCGCAGAGACGGAAACATATTTTGAGAAGCATTCGAAACATATTGTCATAAAATCTTTGATATGTACGCTGAAATTCAGTTTGGAGAGCAACCAGTGGATGTGAAGCCATATCGTATAATGGTTTCACTCTTGGATAAAGCGGAATATCGGTAGCGCTGTGCTGGATCATGTGCTCTGCGATATTATACGCACCATGTCGTTGTCGAGCAGCAGCAATTCGAGGTGGTGAAGTCGCCAATCTATATTGCCACATTCGACCCAGTTTATATTTGGAGTTTATGACGAGCATGTATGACAAGTCGTGCAAGAAGGTGAGAAAGTGTAATGAGAGTGATTGTTTAAAAACCTGCTCGTTTAAAGTTTATTCAACATAACCTATATTTTAATATTCGCTATTTTTTAGACCAACAAATTCATGACTCGCTCACAATCGAGAGGAAAATTATCACGTAGCATTTCGCGCAGCAGCAATGAAACGAAATTTCAATGTGAAGTCGGCTCTGGCGATCCTAGTCTGGTGGAAATATGCTATCTTACCGAATTTTTACTAGAAACCATCTCCTTGGAAATGTACAATGAAACGACGCGCATTTATTTGCCAAAAGTATTTCTAGCTATCACACAGATGCTCACCATACATCTAGACAATATAAGTAGTGATGAAGTAAATGCTTCACTGAAGCTATGCATGAAAATTGTTTCACGCGTGCAGCCGATGATTACGTAAGTTACATTTCTATAACCTATAAAATATGCATATATTTCAAAATATTTTTAACATTTTATGCATATCTCTTTATACAGTAGCCCCATAAAGCTCGTGCCACGCACCAATCACGGCTACTACTCATCCTCCGATGAAAAAGCTAGTAATGCCAATAAAAGCGTACTGAAGAATACATCAATTGCGCAAGTTGCTGGCGCTATGTATGCGCTAGAGAAGAGCAAATCCGATTCGAAGTTGAACCATTTTTCGGGTGACGACAGCAATGGCATGTCACAGCATGGCAAAAATAAGGGCGTTTATGCTTATACCGAGCCGCCAATGCGACGCTCGAACTCCAATCAGCATATGGAGCGTAAAAGTCCAAAGAAGAAGAAGGCCAAATCCACATCAAAGCTATCAGAACTGGATAAAGAGGTTTGAAATGCACCAAATTATGAACGAATATTTATAAATTAAAGTAAATTTTCTTTTTCCACTCACACACACACAGATTTGCCCCGACACTGGACAAATTATCGAGCCACAATCCTCCTCCGACTTGGATACGCCATTGAGCATTAAAAAATTAAAATCGAAAGCCACAAAACCATATATGCGCATACGCACCAGTCCCAAGAAGACACGTCCCAAGGACATCGCACTCACCGGACCCAAATCACTCGATCCAGCTTTACTGAAAACCCAGGATGAAACAGACGATTTGCCAAAGAGCGCACCAGCCACCGAGCAGTTAGCCAAAGATCGTGTGGAGGAATTGATTTTCGACTATAACGAAGCTAATGCTAACAACGAAGAAGAATTCTCAATACTAGAAAAATGCATTAGACAATATGAGATTTTCTTCGAACTCTATTTGACACGTCACGTTTTGCAAATTAAACGCGCCACTGCAGTGGACGAGGAGAAATGTCGCATTAAAGTCGAAGTAGAACGCGAACAGCCGCTTAGTGTGGAGCATATTTTTCAAAATGAGCAGATCTATGAAGACGCAAGCCCTGAACGGCTCGTAGAAATCGAACGACTCTTTGACACGCTGCGCGTTAATGTAATGAGTCGTTCCAAACAGCTGCATAGCTTACTAAATCGCTCGTTGGGACAGACTAAAGCCACAACTGCAGGCACCGGCACTGATTCAACCACCAGCGATGCGAGCGATGAGGGCGATGAGACGCAAGTGACATGCGATGACAGAACCGAACGACGCATACAAACGCTAATGGATTTACGTGTATCGAATAGTTTGCGTAGCGCTATAAAATTGGCAGCAAATTTGCTCGTAGAAATGTCCACATTCCCCAATTGCAATAAGAATATTGTGTTGGATAAGAATGACAAAGAGATACCGAGTTGGTTGAAGGTTCTCTGCCTGGTCACGGCGTATACGCAAAGCGATAAAGAAATGCAGATAGCTGCGATCACGACGCTCTTCGATTTAATTAGGTATGTGAAGTATAAATTACAAAAAAACAAAACAGAAAAAATATTAATTTTTACTTTTCCAGCCTACTCAAGTCTCAAATCGAACACACCACCAGCCCCGGCGTGACCTTTGTGGTAATGCTGCCACTGCTCAAATTCGGTCACGTCAGCTATATTGAACATAAAACGCGCATCTTTCAGCTGATCACCTCCGTGTTGTGGAATTACTTGGGTGAACCGGGCGTTGATCCGGCGCAGATCACTTCGTTGCTCTATCAGCTGCATAATTGCTTGGAGAGCGGCCTGGTGGAGACCATCATCGGCAATCGTATGTATGCGCATAGCATGCATCAACAATTTGCCGCCGCCGATGCCTTGGCAGCTGCCAGCTGGGGCGAACAATACAGTAGTATGTTGCCGCAAACTGCGCTACGTAATTACCGTTACGATCGCGCGCGTGATGTGCAATTGGTGTGCGCTTCACCCGCGCGTCCAGTGACGCGCGCTGCCATTGAGCAGCTAAAAGAGAGTGAATCGAAGAGTTTTCGCAAGTTTGAGCTCCTCTGGCATTTGGGGCGTGACAAACAGCCCTCCAAGGGTTTCGAAAAAACGCTGTTGAAAGTGTTGGATACTCTGGCGCTGCCGCAATATATGTCTGTGCGCACTTGTGTCACCAAATGGCTACAGTCCGCTTTGCTGCGTGGTGATTTACCGCGTCTCATCAAGCCGCTCTACAAAATACTGCTTGGTCCACAAACGAAACGTATTGGCATTATGCATTTGCACGTGCTGGAACAGGAGCGCAGCGAAGAAGGTAATGGGCAAACAAAGGCGAGCGACAAGCTACAGTTGGGCGGCGCGCAGAGCGACAATTCGCTGGAACGTGATATTTATGCCATCAGTTCTGAGTATGGCAATATCAAGTATCACATGGACACCTCGAGCCACAAGAAACGCAGTCCAATACGTAGTTTCCACAAGAAGATTTTCGGTGTAGCTTTGAGCAGCAAAAATAAAACATCGAATTTTTTGAGCGACAAAACGCCCACACAAACTATAGCTGCTGCAGAACTACCAGACGCCACCATAGGGCTCATAGTCAATCCGCTAGATAATTCGCCGGATTTCGATGATGCTGAAGACAATGAGACAGAGTGCGAAATGCACGAGTTGACTTCGAAAAGTGATGCACATTCCATAACAAAGCCAGCAGAGCAGTCACAAAGTGTGAAGAGCGCAGTTGAGGATGACGATGCCGCCGAAGAGGAGGACGATGATAAGGAAGAGTTGGACGCGCATGACTTCGAACACGACTACACGGATGACTCGGAGAGCAGCATGTTCGATTCTGAATCGGAAAATCGCGAAACAAGCGTAGAGAAGGACGACAGCCTGACGATCAGCTCCAGTGTTGGTGTCGTTGGTAATGGCAATACCACTGTTGGCGGCAATCTCAAACGTTTCGTCGGCGACTGCGAACGCGTAACTGAGTTGTTGTCACAACACGAACGCACGAAAAATCGCAAAACGTATCGGCTAACGCGTGAGAAAACGCCTGGTGATTCGAGCTTAGCTTCGGTCACGTCAACTACAGACGAACATTCTTCACTCGGCGCGCCAACACAAATTTCTGGTATACTGGATGACTCGGCGCATGCAGCTGATGAATATTTCAGCACCAATAATGGCAGCGCCAACGATACCGCAGCTGCAGAGACAACACTCAAAGATTTAGGAGCGCAAATGTCCGCGCAGCCAATTGATACACCGCCACAAACACAGCAGCAAAGTAACGCGGGCAGCGGCAAGCATAAGCGCGCACATGGCACAACAAAATTGAATAAGAAAAAACTTGGCGCGGGCAAAAAGTCGCCTGGCGGCAGTGATAAGAAACGCATGAGCTGCATTTCGAAGACCTCAACGGATAGCAACAACAGTTACTCTGGACTGGCCGGACCGCACAGTCTGCAGGAGGAGCCCATTACATGCAATTCACTGCAAAGCGACGACGATGATGAGGAGCTGTACGAGTCGCGCTCACAATCCCATTCGCTCACAACCGCGTCCACTATAAATGTTGAGGATAAACGACGCACGCTCAGTTTGGAGACAAGTCAGAAGCCCAGCCAACCGAAATCTGAATGGGCACTTACACAGGAAACACTGGAGAAGAGCAAACAGAATTTGCAGATTTTACGTCAAAATGCCGCCGCCGCGCAGCAACAGAATGGCAACGGTGGCGGCGATGCTGGTAGTAAGCGTTCATCGATGAAGAGCGGCAATTCAAGCATAAGCGCGGGTGATATATCCGCGCGCCTGGTCACCGACCAAATGCCCAGCTACTATCAGCATATGCTCATCTACGCCAGTGGCGCTTACGACACAAAACAAACGTTGTACGCATTCCAAACGCTACGCAACATCATCACCTGTGACACGCGCACTTTTCTCTGTCTGTCGATCACCACCTCCGTGGCCAGTGGCACATTGAAACAGCTGCTGATACGTCATCGCAAATGCATGCAGGGCAAAGGCTTTACGGGCAGCATCAATAACACCGAGTACGCGCAAAGCTATCGCGCTTGCATGCATCTAGAGGTGTTGGTCACAATATGTCTCTATTATGCGCGCGGTTTCTTTCATCATGAAGCGCGTTATGCAGATAGCGCCGCCGACGCTCCCAACGCTGAAGATGTAATGGGCAACTGTCGCGTGCAGTTGGAGAGCGTTGAGCTGCTCTCACTTATATGCGCTGAGCTAATAGATATCGTGCGCGGCATGGGTAAGGGACTGGCATATTACATCGCCGACCTGATGGCGCGTTGCAAACTACAAAAAGTGATACTACATTGTCTCAACGCATCGGTGAGCATGTTTAGCGGCCAACAGCGCCAGCAGAAATCACGCGCGTCAGATACGCTGCCTGCGCGCATACTGAATTTCAACAATCCCCAAGATGATCAATTGCATGCTGAATCGCTGCAATTACAGCTGCTACGCCTACTCATGTCTGTGATAAAACTTGAATATGAAGTACAGCTGCTGAAACAAGAGAGCAATGGCGCTAACGCAAACGGCGCTGGTAGCAGCAAGGAAGACACCTCGGGCAATATATCACCGACGCGTCTGTCCAACATTGGCGGCGAAGCAAGCGTCACAAATGTCAAATACTTGCCCAGTTGTTTGATCAGTCAGCAGCCGATGTTTCTCGCCGCGGTGCTAAGTGCGCTACAGAATGATCAGTTGCGGCATTTACACCGCAACTGGACCGATTTGGTGACTGCATCGTTGAATTGTTTCAGCTGCGGCTCGCTTACAAACATCGTCATCAGCGTCGTACATCAGCTTTGTCACAATATTGATCGTATAGCGAAATTGTCGTTGAAGGAGCAGAGCGGCTTTCCACCAGACTACGTAGTCTCACAGCTAGAAGCCATCACTATACTCTGTCACTATTGTCTGCTCGACAACACACAACAGACCACGCTCTCACATCTCTTCAATCAGGCCTACCCACAGACCAGCGTCTCAGCGCAGAGCTCCAATACCGGCCAATTGCTCAACAGCATTGTACATTCATTCCTGTCCAGCGCTGCTGCGGCCGCCGCCGCCACATCACAATCCTCGGAGGCGCAGGCGCCACGCAATCCACAGTTGCTAGCTGCGCGCAATGCCGTGCTTTCACATCTCTCGCGCATCGTTACCAGCGTTGCGGCCGTCTGGGATAGTGAATTGGGTCAAGTGCGTCCGGTGAAGCAACAGCTAATGGAATTCCTATCGCCGGTGTCGTTGCATCATGGCGCCAACTTCCTTGCTGCTGTCGCAGTTACCTGGCAAGAGCGCGGTGAAGCGTACGCCAAGCGCGCCAAACCACTCTCTTCACTCAGCATACCCGAACAGTATCTACGCAATTCGGCGCCACAGGCATGCGCCGAGCAATTGAGTCTCGTTACGCTTGTCTCCAGCATACGCGTTATGCCGATGGACTCATTCGTACAAACACTACATCAAGTGGTGCGCAATCCGCCGCCCATACATCGACCACCCGTGCACCTCACCATCGAAGTGAGCGCTTTAGAATTATTCTATTTTTACATGAAGTCCGCGCCTGCGCCACAACTTGGCGATTCGTGGAGCTCTCTATTGGCGCTACTGCGCGATTGTCTCAACCTCACGCCAGCAGCACAATTTGTATTGCTGATGTTGCTCAATGAATTTGTGCAACGTTGTCCGCAAATGCCGTTTCCCGACAAAAAAGACATACGTGACTTGCATGACGTCACCGCGCGGCTGGTCGACTCGCTGTCGAATGTGGCCGGTTCGTGTTTGGAACAAACCACTTGGTTGCGCCGTAACCTCGCTGTCAAAGAGGACATCTCGCCAATCACCTCAGAGGGTAGTCTACGCGATAGCATCGGTGGTCAGCAGCAACAGTATGCCGTGCAAGCGCAAAGCGTTTTAGCGGCTACCTTAGCTAATTTGCTGGATGTCGCGTATGGCTCGCAGGAGAAGGATAAGGTAGTGAATATAATAACAACGTTGCTGTACAACATTACGCCATACCTGAAAAATCACACAGCGCGCAATGTGCCCTCCTTCTATGCCTGCTCCAGTCTTTTGGCAAGCCTCAGTGGCTATCAGTATACACGCAAGGCGTGGCGCAAGGACATGCTCGATCTGTTACTTGATAATACCTTTTTCCAGTTAGATATTTCCTGTCTGAGTTTCTGGAAGCAAATTATGGACAGTCTGATGACTTACGACAATACAACATTCCGCGAACTGATGAGCCGCGTCTCTTTAACGCAAACCGGCAGTTTAAATATCTTCACGTCGCGCGAGCAGGAGTATGAGCAGCGCTCAATGTTGTTGAAACGTTTGGCCTTTGTGATATTCTGCAGTGAATTCGATCAGTACCACAAGTATATGCCCGAAATACAAGGTCAGTTGATATTAAGTAAAAGTCGCATTAATGTATTGTCTACCTTTAGGGTGTTTTCGAAGGGTGGAAATTTTAGAGAAAGTTTATTTGGCACCTAAATTTAGGCAATGCATATTTTTTTGAGATCATATTTAAAATATTGCCTACATTTAGGCGATTTGTAAAAGTATATTAGATATATTCATTACAATTCGCGATGTATTTTATTAAATAGTATTTGATAGGGACTAAAAACAAATATGAAAATGAAAACGAATTCGAAGACTAGTGTGACATTGATTTTATTGTTCCCCAAACCCCTTAGATTCTGAATTTCCAAGTTCACAAAATTCATCTCTTCCACAGAACAACTGGCGAACAGCTTACGCCTACTTTCCATGGTGCCATCCGTGCAGGCAGCCGTTTTTCTTTGCTTCCGTGTACTCCTGCTACGCATGTCAGCTGATCACGTGACATCCTTGTGGCCCATTATAATTGCCGAGATGGTGCATGTGTTCTTGGCTATGGAGCAAGAGTTGAAATCCGATGGCGAGGACTTGAGGTGAGTTTTTCTCGGTAAAATAAAAAGAATCAGTTTAATTATTGTTGTTTCACGATACAACCGACAGCCAACAAATGCGTTTACTCTCCGGCATGGACGTTTCGTGGTCATCAAATTCCTCCAGCAATGGTTTGAGTTCACAAAATCAGGTGACACACTGGCGCTCAGTGCAGCTGGAAGCGTCGAAGCTGCTTGAATTAGGCTGTGTGTTGCCGGCGACCAATTTGCCACATTTCCAAATGTACCGTTGGGCTTTCGTGGGCACCGAATTCGATGTGCACGAGGAGGTGCCGATTATGAATGGCAGCAGTGATGAGCTGATGACAACAGCCACATTGCCAACGACAATCTATGTGCCGCACATACGACGCATCGGACGATTGATGGACATGAAGTATGCAGTACATTCGCCGGTAAGTATCGAAAAGTCACTTGGTGATTATAACTTTTAATTAATTTATTTTTTCTTGCAACGTAGACCAACAATGTAAAACGTGGCCGCCACCTAATGCTTACCTTCCAGCAAATCCATTCGCTGCAAGATCTATACGGTTTCTTCTCTACACTGAGCGTCAATTGTCCCAATCCACACAACCACGCTGATATCGACAAGGAGGTGGCCAGCTGTTTGGCCGAAATTGAGGATGTGCTAGCTAAGGATTTTCTTGAGAAGATGCCGACCAGCACAACGCCTAGGTGAAAATTAGTGACGGCGATCCGTGAAGTTGCCGGCGAACTGGAGTCGAGCGGTAGCGCTTTCAGCAGTCGCGTCACAGCGGCTTGTCACTTCAAACTATTGCATTATCACCAGCAACAACAGCAGCAGCACCAACAGTCGACGCATGCAGAGACGAGCTACACGCTCGGTATTAATCACAGCACCACAACAACTACAACTAAAAAAAGTAATTTCCCATTCTATGTTTGAGTAAAGTAAAGGCCAGCAACAGGTGAAAAAGTGGAAAACCTAGAACCTAGTGCTAGAATAACGGTGAATTTGCGTTAAGTAGTGCGAGAGGGCATAAATGTATTAGATCAAGCGAAACGGACCACACTTTTAATGACTTTTAAGCTTAATGGCTATAAGGAAACAAAGAAAGAAAGAAAGGAAAATAACACACACACACACACTAATTATACCTACCAATATTAACGCCCTGTATTTATATAATTAATTACTATTAGCTAATATGCAAAAAGAAAGAAAAAAATATTATAAAAGATGCGATAAATGGCGTATTTGCGCATGCGCTGCATTATTATGATATCCTTATACATACCTACATTAATTAATTGCATACATATAAAGAAAAAAATATATATAATACATACACACATACATGCATAGAGTGTTGTTTCGAGTTTTTGCTCAGCAGTGTAAAATTGTTGGCAATGCAAAGACCACAGCTTACTATTTGAATGATAGAATTTTAAACGAAGAGAAAATGATGAAACAGAAAATCAGAAAAATGTAATGACGATAGAGAAGATGATTATGATGATGAAAAAGATGTGAATAAAGATGATGACGATTAAGAAAATTGAAAAAAAAGATGAGGATGATGAAAATAGAGAACAAAGAGACGATGGAAAAGAAGAAAATGATAATGTTAATGAAACGTGTACAATAAAGTAGCTGAAAGACGGATGGTGTCAATGTTGGTGTTGGTGTTGGCGGTGAAGTTTGCAATGAATCACAAATATAAACAAAAACAAACAAAGCATGCATTCAATACAGCCCCTCACCACCCCATTGCCTCATCAATTGTCACTGTGTGCAATTATGTTTGTTAAATAAAAACTTTGTGTATTCAATTGACATTCGTCTGCGCTATTAAGCGGACTGTAAGGGGTGCCTGTGGCTGTGGGAGTTTCTAGCAAGTGCATGTGAGTATCGTTGACCGCTCAATGTGGTAAAGTTAACCTTTGCCATCTACAATAATAAGACAATACTAACACATATACGCTGTGTAGGCGTGAATTTATTTACTGCAGAGTATTGTATCAACGAAGTGAATGCAACAAATATTATAGGTATGTGTGTGCGAGTGAGTATTTCATTCTTGTTGGGTATATGAGATGATTACATAATAATGTAATTAATTTGTGGATTATGTTGTTTGGATTAAACTTTTTCATTTCGAATGCACTTTTTGGTATCGAAATAGATTTCAATTTTCTTCGGACTTATTCAGTGTTCCAATATGGTTTGAAAAGTTCTTTTAGCTTCAAAAAATTATGATTTTGACAACCAAGTAGTCCGCAAGCCGAAACTAATTTGATTTCATTTAGTTTTATTATTACATTAATGCTATAATGTGCGTGTCTAAGATTATTTAAAGGGCTTGAAATAAAAATTACATATGTACATGTAGTTAAAAAAAAACCGTGATTCATTTTAAAAAATTTGGAATACTTTAATCGCGTAGCCGTTCTTCTTAAAATTATCTTAAATCCAAAAACAAAAAAAAATAATAATATTACTATAGATAAATACAGGTAATGATCGAAGAGCTAGTCAAAATTTTGATTTTTGACAAAATTTTAATTTTTGACAAAATTTTAATTTTTGACAAAATTTTAATTTTTGACAAAATTTTAATTTTTGAC